ATCTTCGCTATCTCTGGTGTGCCTAAATACATTATAGATGGAGAAGAGACTGAGGTTGTTGATTTCAGCTTGCTCAGATCCACAATCAAAACTCTTGGAGCAGTCAAGTTATCAAAAGACAAATTGTTTTTGTTGTTATTATGTGCTGTCAAGTCACCTGCGACTCATAGCGATCCTATGTACAACAGTCCCAACCCCTGCCCTATCCTGTGGCAATCTCACTGTCTCTGACACACCTATCCCCATTACCCCAGTCACTGAATCAATCCACCTCATAGAGGGTCTTCCTCTCCTGGGCTGTCCCTCCGTCCCCCCCAAGCATGACATCACTCTCCAAGGACTGGTCCCTCCTTGCAACATGTACAAAGTATGTCAGATGAAGCTTCAGAATCCTTGACAAATTATTCCGGAAAAAATTGCTAGCAGACTTCTCCAGAGTGCTGAAGAGCAGTGATGTCAGTCTGGACACTAAGGTATAGCTGATCCATGCTATGGTCTTCACAATTACTTGCTATGCATCAGAGAGCTGGACAAGGACTAATGATGACAGAACAATCAAGTCCTTGAGTTGTAATGCTGGTGAAGAGTATTGAACATTCCATGGACCACTAGGAGACCAAATAGGTCTGTCCATGAGGAGAAATCAAGTTGCTCTTTGGAGGCAAGGATCTTCAAGCTCAATCTCACATTCTTTGGTTACATGGCTAGGAGGGACTAGTCTTTAGAGAAGACCCCAGATGAGATGGATTGACACGGTAACTGGGTCAAGGGGTAGAATGTGTTGAAGTCATTAAGACTGGTTCAGGACAGGGCAGGGTTCAAAGCTATTGTACACAGGGTCGCTATGAGTTGCGGGCGAGTGGATGGCACATAACAACATGGCATATTTAGGTGTAATCTAGTTCTATTTATTGTAAACAAGCGACCATGTGGGATTGCAGCCAGCACAGCTTCCTGGACGAGTGACTAAAGCAGTTTATTAAATGACTTAAATTATTCCCTTTCCTCATCTTTGTTACTGGGTTCAAATTCCCCAGTACCCTAGTGGCTTTCCTGATTGGGTCAGATATCCATCCACTCCTGAGCTAAAGAGAAACAGGAGTCACACTACATACAGATACAACTGCTGTGGGCACAGCCTTGTTCCAAGAAAAGAATCACCATGCTTTATCAGTAACTTTATTGGTAATCATTTTACGTGAGCAGTTAGTCCTATAGAACGTTGTGGGGAGAAGAGCAATAATAAGGAATCAAATCACAAGCTCAGAGATTGTTGTTATCTGTAGGTGCTGTCTCATAGTGACCCTGTGAACAAGAGATCTGAACCCTGTTCTATCTTGTGCCACCTTCACAATCTCTGACATACTGTATTCCATTGCAGTCACCGTGTCAATCCATCTCGTTGAGTCTTCCTCTCTTTTGAAGACCCTCCACCTTTCAAAGCATGATGTCCCTCTCTTACTCTAAGGAGTAGTCTCTCTTAGCAACATGCCTAACGTTTGTGAGATGAAACTTCCTCATCATTGCCTCGAAAGAGCACTCTGGCTGCACTTTCTCCAAAACTTTTCTGTTTGTTCTTTAGGCTGTCCATGGGATTGCCAATGCTTTTCTCCAACACCACAGCTCATAAGTATCAATTCTTCTTGTTAACCTTATTCTTCACTGTCCAGCTCTCATCAGCATAGCAAGTCACGGAAAAGACCATGGCCCCAGAGAAAAATGATGAAGAGCCTTGGAATCTTAGTTTCTAATACCCAATGGGAATGTTAGGTGGGCCCATCTTATGAAAAACTGGCAAGACAAATTAGATGTGAGGGGCTCAGGATGGGTAAATAAAAAATGTTGTTGTGTACTGTCTAGTCAGAACTGACTCACAGCTGACCCTCCAACAGGTTTTCAGAGGCAGTTAATTGCATGGAAGGAGACTGCCCATCTTTCTCCTAAAGAGCAGCTAGAGGATTTGAACCACATTCCTTTGGGACTGAAATGCAATTTTCTTGCCACTAGGCCCCCAGAACTCCCTGTAGTGGGTAGTAATTTAGTGACAAAGATACTTGCAAACATTTTGGAAAGGAAAGTTGGTTTGGTTTTGATATACATTGAACTGATACAAGCAGAAGCCATCCAGAGAGGACAATTTAAAAAAAAAAAAAAGGAACTAGAAAAAGAAAATATCCATCTGACTAAAGATTTAGGAGTCAACAGAAGTGATGTGTAGCTGGAGTCATGCATATCAGTGTGTCTCCTCACTTCACTGAAAAGAGTCAAAGACAAAAGAGTTCCAACAACTTAAAAATGGTATAATAAACCCAGGTCAATGGTAATTATATGGCATACAATGCATATAAATGACTGTATGAAATATAAGGTAAATGAGGGGTTATATAAAATACAATGGATATGAAAGAAACACAATTTAAATTAATTATTGTGTGAAAACCAATTAAAAAAAGACAAACCCAAAGCCAACATCACAATGTATAAAAAGAAAAAGAAAAAAAGAGAGTTCCAATGAAGGAACTCTATGGAATGGTACGAGACCAGAGGAAGAAAGTCAGCAAAAGGGACAGATAACTGCACCAAGAAAAAGGTGTTAGAAGTGTGATCTCAAGAGGAAAGAACTACAAAGAAGTCAAGCTAAAGGCAGAAAAGATTCCAACCAAAATCCCTGGGTGGTACAAACAGTAAAACAGCTATTAATGAAAGGTTGGCAGTTCAAACCCTCGAAAGGTGCCTCAGGAAAAAGGCCTAATGAGGTACGTCCAAATAATCACTGCAATTAAAAGAAAATATAACCACAGCGCATTACTAGTTAGCTAGCCAGTGGATTGAGTACAAGGATCCAAGGTGGGGGAGGGAGATTGATCATAAGAACACATAATTTGATGGGGGGGAGGCAGGGAGGGGTAAACAAAAGGGGAAAGATCCAGTGTGAAAAACAATGTGTATGAAATCTATGAACTTTGTATGTATATCAATATAACATTTTTTAAAAAATGAAAGTAGAAAAAAATACTCAGATTTAACAAAAATTTTTATAATTATTTTATAGATAAGGATGGAAAGCAGGTGATAAAGGGAGTATGATGTGAGTTAAGAGCACAGATCTCTCATCTTCTATATTACCAACTGAAAGAGGCTATGGAAATGTACATATTTTTCCCCTAAATAAAACAAGGATAGAGCAGGGTTTAGGGCTGTTGTACACAGTCGCTATGAGTCACAAACAACTTGACGGCACATAACAACAACAACAACATAGATGGCAATATGAGCTTTTTTAAAAAAAAGCAACACCTTAAAGAAGTCCTTTCCTTTTTTAAACATGCTGTCTTGGACTCCATACTAGAAATTAAGGGTTAACTAAGTTACAATGCTTTATATCACAGGCACACTCCTGAACTCAGACATTCAAACCATTTGCTTGTTGTATATTATAAATGTTAAACCTAAATATGTTTCTGGAACTAAAAAAATAAGGTTTTCAAATTATTGCTGAATAATCTTCTTGTCAATCATCCCACTTAAACATGTAAAAAAAAAATTAGCTATAAAACATCCAACTGCGTTTAGAAGGAAAAGATGAAAAACAACTTTAGGAAAGTTAAGAAAATCATAGGGGAAAAAAAAGACCATACACTTAATCACATTTCCAAGTTTTCAGTATCTATAAACCAACACAAAATCTAAGTAATGCCAAGTAAAAATTTTAATAATGTAAATATCAATTACATGTTTTATTTAAAATTTTATTCATATTCTTTATGATTTGTGAAAACAACTTGTCTCAGAATACAATAGTTGATACTGTAGATTCATACAACCAATTGTACAAATCTAGTATTCTTAGTATAATACAACTACTGTTTTAGATATATAATGACAATAAAATAACCCCTATACCCTGAAAACTTTACAGAAGCATTTTTTCCTTTTTCAATTTGATGAGTCAAAGACTTTCAAGGACTACTTTAGGGTTGTATAAAATCCAGCAGAAATGACATTTAAAGGAGAGAAGAAACCAAATAGTTTAATATTTAAAAAGAATGCATTACACATGTCGTAGGTTTCATATGCACAAATTGGTCTAAACTATCTTAAAACATGAATTTTTAATTTAGAAAAACGATAAATCTAATTATATCACATACCTGATGAATGTCTTTATACAATTTCTTCTCTCTTACACAAATTAAATAAATACTGAAATGCAGTGCTTTGGACAATATACTAATTACAGAAATGCCCATTAAGTATCTGCTTAATACTCATCAAATAACCTTATGAAATGAGGTATGGTTAACTTGAAATGGTATGATAATGTGAATATTCAAAGAAACCGTACATGAAATTTAAAAACAGACCACTACAACAAAGATAACATCAAAATCTGAAGCAAATACATAGCCTGGTGGGCTCATTATTTTATGCATCTGTTATAACCAGGAACTGCTGCCTCCAAAATATTTTCTTTTAAATGCTTCGTTTTCAAGAGTCTATTGTTAGGCACTGTGCATACACAGGTGTTACATACACAGTGATGGAGCACACAAACCAGGTTCCTTGAAAAGAGAGAAATTTTAAGAAGTATCCTTCCACCTTCAAATTCAAGGAAATACGGCTTTTGGGACAGAGAAAGTATTCTGTCCCAGAAAGTTTATTTTCTGATTAAGAGTGACACATATATAAATCATAAGTCAGTATTTCAGAAAAACATATATTCTTAATAAATCAAAATTTATAACTGATAATTAGCTATAGTGGCTGATGTCCTCTCATGCCCTTTATGACCTTGGTATTTTTCTCAATATATATTCTTATACACAAAAGTTTTTAAAACAAGTATTTCATCTATTCTTGAGTATATAATAAAATGTAGAACTTCAGGACTTTTTAAAACCTAGACACTAAAAGCAATTTAAGCATTTTATTATATATCTGAAACAGATGTCCTCAATGTTGGAGGAAAAGCAACTTTATCTGAATATATTCAAGGGTTGTAATTAATCTTCATCATCTCTTTGAAAAGGTATTATCTGAATTTCTTTGGCTATCCTTTCAGCTAATGTTCTACTACTTGCAGCAATTATTCTTCGTGACATCAAGTCAAATGGTCCACCTAAAATCAAATAAAATAGGGGGAAAAAAGATTATATCCTGTATAAACAGAATTCATATGTAACTAGTATATGAATGTTTGCTTTTATAATATTTTAATACTTATGTTACCTTAAAGACAAAAGAAGAAATTCTTCTGTCACATAACCACACTATTTAAGTTTTGTTGTTGTCAGGTGCCATCATATTAGTTCTGGCTCATAGTGGCCCTCTGTACAACAGAAGGAAAGAGTGCCTATCCTGAATCATCCTCACACACAAGGCCACCATGCTTGAGCCTACTGTGTTTGCTATGTGTCAGTTCATCTCCTTGAATGTCTTGCACATTCTCTGACCTTTTCCAGTACGATGTCTTTTCTCTTGACAACATATACCAAGTATGGGAGACTAAGTTTCACCATCCATGACTCTAAGGAGCACTCTGACTACACTCTTCTTCTAAGACAGATTTGTTTGTTCTTTAGGGTATTCCATAGTATTCAATACTCTTCATCAACACAATTCAAAGGATCAATTCTTCTTCAGTCTAAATCCTGGCAGTAGGTAAAAATGTTCTTTAAGCTTCTTCTTGAGCTTATTCATACAAAAAAGTCATCTTCCCCTTCTTTTGTATAACTTACTACTTTCAATACCTCTTTTCTAGGTTTAATAATCTAATGGTACGAAACCTGACTCCACTACATTTTCATACTATTCTCCTTCCAATTTCCTAATTGTCGCTTTTCTCCCAGTGCATCTACGAATTCTTTAAATCCAACTTTACCTTTTACTTTAAACATTTTACCATCAGATCAAACCAAAAATTAAACTGAAGCCTAGGCACAAAGCAATGATGAAGGAAGTCTGTCCTCAATATCACAACAGTCAACACTCAATTCTTTTTAAAAACCTCTGACCCTGGGGCTTTCTTGAGCTATTTTCCAGTCTCTTCAAAGTTCTTGATACTCACATGTGAAGCAGCTGAGTCACTGACTGTTCACCCATTTCCACTCCACCATTAGCTTCTTACTCTTGCCTCTATCTCTCAACATCTATTCTTTTGATTTTCCATAAAACACTACAGTGTGTATTTTTTTTTGTTTTATGTGTTAAAAATATTAAAATGTATCAAATATCTTTTCATTTTTTTAACATAGCAATATTTTTAAAAATACATCAATGTATATAGGAAAATATAATAGACAGGTGGAAAAGGATATTTTATCCTCCCCTAAATTTTACCTGTTACATCCATCAGCACACCACCAGCTTCTGTAACAATAATGCCAGCTCCTGCCATATCCCAGCAGTGAATTCCCATTTCATAATATGCATCGGCGCCTCCAGTAGCCACAAGGCACATATTAACAGCTGCTGTTCCAACACCTCGTATCCTAACAAATAACATTTAAAAAATAATGATAAGAAAAAATATTCCTTTTAAATGAAGTGCCCCACTCAACTTCAGTTTACCGCAAATGTTAAAAAAGGAAAACGTGACAATATAGAGAGTAAATTGGGGGGGGATATTAAGACAGCATGATTTTGCAAAAACAAACAAAAAATCTTGAAAAAATGTTAAAACAATCTAGAGGATAAATGTTTAAAAATGTAGTATAATTTGCAATAAAACATGAAAATCTATTATCTCCTATTCAAATCTAGTGCATGCATTAGGACATAGTCACACAGAAGTGCAAGAACCCAGTGGTGGTGCCTCTAGCAGTTTGAATCTATCAGCGTTTCTGCAGGAGAAAGATGGGAAATCTCCTGAAGGAACCCTGCTGGGAAGGTCAGCTCTGTGCTGGGAAGGTCAGCTCTGGGCTGGGAAGGTCAGCCCTGGGTAGGTTCCTACCCTCCCACAGTCAGTTTGAGTTTATTCTGTTTGGTTGTTATTGTGGGGTTTGTTTGTTGTTGTTTTACAATGAATGGCAAATTAATTTTCACAAAAATAGAATCTTTAAAATAAAGCTATAATTTTCGAGAAAAAGGAAAAACTCCCAAACATGAAATACTATAATTCTGATGCATATATAGTTAAAGCAAGGCATCACATGGGTTTGTGAACACAAGGACTATAGGCTGTATTATTTTACTCACATACACACACATCCTTACAATATAAGTAATGTCTAATAAGGTGAAAATATCAGGCTACTGGTCTTTCTCCACTTCATGGGCACCAGTACATGTGACTACAGAGATGATGACAGGGACAGCAGTGCCTATGCTCCATCTGCACCCAAGTCCTCTCAGGAAGATTCTTTCAAGTTTTCCTTCTCATAGAAACTTTTCCTTGGAAATACAACCATTTAAGACGAACATGGACTCTACCTTGGTGGCCAATATAATAATAAGTGGTTTAAGAACTCAAAACTCATTGCTGTCAGGAACTGGCTCATAGCTGACCTCCGAGAGAGTGTAAATCACACAGGAGGAGTCTACTAATCTTTCTTCTTTGGAGACCTAATGGATTCGAACTGCGAGAGAGGAAAGGTCTTTGGACTAGCAGTGCAACTCGCTACGGGCTAGGCCACCAAAGCTCCTTGATGTTAAGAAAGTATCATCAATACTTAAACTACTGGGTGAAAGTTTAATCAGAAACAATATCTGACACACTGCTGAAGTGTCTCAACATAAGATACTAGAAATATGGGGAGAAGGGAAAGGAAATAACTAAAGAGCAGACACATAATAGTGAGAGTGAAGGGAAACAATACATAACAAGGGGATGCACAACATCACCAAGGCAAAAGAAGACACTGGAAGCATGCAAGAGTGAAAGGTTACAACTGTCAATACCATTAATACACAATCCTGTACTAACAATAATAAAAATATCTACAAGTAGGTAACAGTTAGAATGTATGACTGTAAGAAAGTATTGAACTTTTTCTATTTGTTTAAGGTATTCATTCAGATGAAATCTTTTAGCTTTGTTTTTGCACAAGTAATCATCCTGAAAGCTAATAAAAAAACCACAGAATTGGCTAATTACAAAAGATTGTGAAAAGAAATCCATTAAAGACTGCAGCAATGGGCTTAAGCATGGTGGCAATCATTAGGATAGTGCAAGGTTTTGATCTGTTGTTCACAGGGTCGCAGTGATTTGCAGTCAACTTAACTGCACCTAACAACCACAACAACTTCTTGGTAACATTTCCCTGGTGGTAACTGTGGTTGTTATGTGCTGTTGAGAGCAAGCTCTTCAGATCCTCCTTAGTTTCAGCAAGCAGGGTTGTGTCATCTGCATAATGTAGATTGATGATGAGTCTTTCTCCAATCCTGACGGCAGATTTCTCCTTATACAGCCCAGCCTCCAGGATAATGTGTTCAGCATATAGATTGAAAAGGTATGGAGATAGGACACATCCCTGGTGTACACCCTTCCCAATCTTAAACCAGATAATATTTCCATGTTCTGTCCTAATGACTGCCTCCGGGTCCAAGGATAGGTTTTACATAAGCACAATCAAGTATTCTGGGATTCCCATTCTTCTCAGAGTCACAGTTTGTTGTGGTCCCCACAGTCAAATGCATTTGTATAGTCAATGAAACACAAATAAGACATTCCTTTGGTACTCCCTGCATTCAGCCAAGATCCATCTCACATTAGCTATAATATCCCTAGTACCAAGGCCACTTCTAAACCCAGCAATTCTCTGTTGAGGTGCTATTCTAGTCGGTTTTGGATCACTTTCAGCAGAACCTTGCTTACATGTGATATGAATGATATTGTTTGATAATTTCATGGTTACCTTTAAAAAAAAAACCAAAAGAAAAGGTTACTATTTGCTTTTTAGGAAGCTTGGTGGTATAGTCCATAGGGATCAGCATAGGTAACCCAAAGGCTATGTGTAAAACGAGCAAGTGCCACGTGGGGAGTGCCCTATCTGACAATTTCACAGTACCAATTTCACAGGGGGAACTCTCCCCATCCACAACATCAATAATGCAAAACCAATTCCCTGAGGTCAGACATGTCCCCAGTGCTCCCATATCTCTTTCTACTCATCTCAATGCTAATCTTGCTGCATTTCTGGGTCCAAAATCCAATGTGATAGCTCACAGACTATACAGAATACTATTGGAGAAGTCAAAAGTTTATCATCCAGATTAGTAAAGAATACAGTTAAGAGAGTTACTGAAATGTGCACACAGGCACCTCAACCTCAAGCCTCTGAGCATTCCCAAGTTCTCAGTCCTGCCAGTAATGGCTTTCCTCCCCTAACTCCAACACAGTTCTCAGTCCTATCAATATTGGCTTTTTCCTCTCCCACAGTCCCATCTCATGTCAGTTCTCCAGTTCAGCCATGGCTGCTGCTGCTGACCCAAAATGTGTCATACATTCTCCTGCCTCCTCTTCACTGGGGTGGCAAAGGCCTCTCTCCTCTAGCCCGGGAGGATTCTCTCTCTGCAGCTAGAGCTATTACATTTACTGGTGAAACTAGCCAATCCTCTTGTAGACTGTCAAGACTGGTCAATCCCCTTGTGGAATGGTAGACAGTCAACCCCTTGTGGATAAGCTAACGTGCCCCTTTCACATATTCCTGCCCATCTACATAGTGAGTCAAGTAACGGCTGGAAAAGTCAGACAGGTACATAAACTCCATAACATGCCTCTCTAAGGGTTCAAATCCACCTTCAGCTCCATGAGAGAAAGATGAGCAATCTCCTCCTGTGTGATTTATAGCCTTGGAAACCTGCTGAAGGGTCAGCTATGAGTTTATTTTGACTCAATCAAAATAAAAATCAATTTTGGCAATGAGTTGTTGATTGATTTTTTTATTTAAGTGAATAAAATAATATAAAAAGAGTTAAAGTTGTGCAGCACCTACAGCCATTTTATAGCTAGCATAACCACTTCACTACCTGTGATAAAAGTCCTTGCTTAAAAATATCACACTGCTGTAACTAGCTTATTTAATTTTACTGCCTTCTCTCAAGGAAATACATTCTGGTAGCAGCTCTTTCGCTTTACTCAGCTATTTGTTAAGAATAGGCTGTCTGGTCAAGCTGTACTTTGAGTTTCAAGGCATGAAATACAGAATGAAATGAACCAACATATAGAAAATACCATGCAGTACACATATGCATTCCCATGAAGCCTCGTAGAGGTAGGTTTCAGTCAAATGTCACTGGTAAACTAGTGACAAAATGACTATGACCATTTTAAAATGAGTTGTTGAACTAAAACTAAATGGCTTAGTTAAATAATAATAACAACCCATTGCTGTTGATCTAATTTAGAGCAACTCTCCATTGGCTTTCCAAGGCTCTGAATCTTCACAGGGAGACTGCTCATCTTTCTCTATAGAAGTAGCCGGCACTATAACACACAATGACCTATACTAGCAGGGCTCCTAAAAAGTAGGCCTAGACCTGAAGGTGGCTGGCGTCAGCTCCACGGGTTGGCAGACCTGGCTTCCTGACAAATGCCTGAAAACCCCCAGTCCACCAGTAAGCTCTGTGCAAAGCTCTGCCTCGCACTAGTGTCCTGATTTTGTTTCCTTTGCTGCTGCTGTCTCACCATCATTCCTCTGGTATTACAGCACCAACTCCTGGATCAAGGAAGTCTCAGCACAGGAATCTCAGGTATACTCTGATTTTCTTACTTAACAGTAGCTCTAGATCTCGATTTCTGCCCCACTGTCATCTGTCTGTCCCCTCCCCCTTTCCCCCACCAGAATGGCTAATTTGAAAGCTGGCAGGATGGCAAAACTGACTAATCACCACATTAACATTCTTATGTGTTTTATTTGCATGGTCTCACCCTGTAAGTGTGTCACTTATCTAATATACATTATGAGCAAATAACCTACTCTCCCTGGTGGGCCACAGACAACCTCTTCCCACCACAGTACTATGTGCAGTCTTATGAGAATTACAAAGACCAGAGCTAGAACAACCACATCAAGTAATTTATTATAGTGCAAGTAGAAATATTAAAACACAACAAAGTTGCAAACTAAAAATTAAATAGAGGGCAAAAAGACTCCTCTGTCCCAATTTAACAAGAACAGCTCTCTGGTTAAAAGGGCACAGAGAAATTTCAAAAGTTATGAAAATGAATGACTGCATTTCTACACAATTAATATGAACTTTCTACATTCTCTGTTACCCACTTTCTCACTAATTTTTCAGCAGGAAAATGCTAAAAAAAATGTAGTGCAGTGCTACGTGGTGGAGGGGACCTGGGGAAGGGTTTGTAAAACAATGAAAGAATCTTTTCTTTTACTTTTCCATAATTTTTGACTCATGTACTTATAACTTGTTAGTCAAATTTGTGTCTTCTAGGTTGCAACACCCCCATGATACATCTTCAAGGATATGAACATGTACGGCCAAACACAATCAATAAGAGTGCATCTAAATTCCAAAATCAATCTCCATAATAGTCTATGTGTTTCCTACTGCCAAAGGGGCCCTTTAGAGTAGTGAGAAAAGATCTTCACCCTGAAACCCACAGCGTCCCTTTTCAGCAGGAAGTAGCTAAGAGAATACGCCATCCCCTTTTCCTTATGAATCAGGGTGAAGTCTCTCTCAGGAAGGAGTGATAGGGAATGGCAAAGGACACACCGACAAAGGAGATTAATCAGAACTGACTTTGACAAGCACTGTGGCAACTGGACAATTAAAACAGACATTCGGATGGCGGGGAAGAAGAACAAACTGGGGAGGAGGGTGGAGAGAATGGTGCGGCAATGAAGGAGTGAAAGCCCAGAATCCCTGTGAATGTTCATTGAAACTAATAAAATATAATAATAATTTAAAAAAAAATGTAGTGCAGTGAATACCAAAAGAACTTAGCAGGGGGAGGGCACCGATGGTAAATGAACAGAAGGCAGACTCAAGTTACCGGTGTCAAAATATAGAACAATCAAAACTCTGTATGTCATTATGCATGGAATACACTTAAAGTAATGAAAACTCATAGCCATAAATACTATTACAGAGCTCTGGTGGCCTAATGGTAATGAGTTGCACTGCCAAACCAAATGCATGCAGTTCTAACCCACTAGCTGTTCCATGGGAGAAAGATAGGCAACAGGTAATATATGCTGTGCAATTTACTGCCTTTGAAAACCTGCTCTAGGATCAGCTACAATTTGGCTTTGACTCAATGGCACTTACTCAATGCCGCAGCACAGAGGTAGATCTGGCAGCCTAGTAGGTAAAGCACTGTGCTGCTTACCCAAAGGCACATGGTTCAAATCCACCAAACGTTCTGAGATTCTAATCAGATAGTATATGACAATAATAAATAATATTATCAGTAAAAATTAAAAAAATCAAAAATACCATAAGCAATAGTAAAATCAACCTAAAGTAGATGAAATTAATAAATCAAAATTCTGGTTCTTTAGGGGGAAAAAAAATGAAAGAAACCATTAGCCAATTTAATTAAGATTTTTAAAAGAAGAATACACAAATATGTGCAATAGAGTGAAATAACTATTGAAGCTGAGGATTATGAAAAGTATCATGAGAATACCTTGGTATATCTCTACAGAAGATAAATTCTGAAACCCACGGGCAATGCATGCCTTGTTGTTGTTGTTGCTGTTATATGGTGTTGAGTCGCCTGCAACTTATAGTGACCCTACATACAATAACACTAAACTCTGCTCTATCCTGTGCCAATCGTATCGTCTCTGACACACCTGCCCCCGTTACCTCAACACTGAATCAATCCATCTAATCAAGGTTCTTCCTCTCCTGCGCTGTCCCTCCATCCTCCCAAGCATAACATCCCTCTCCAAGGACTGGTCCTGCCTTGCAACATGTCCAAGTATGTTAGACAAAGCTTCAGAATCCTTGCCTCCAAGAAGTAGCCTGGTCTCACCCACTCTAGGACAAATTTGTTTATAATGCCTTAGGTTGTGGAAATACTTAAGATTAAAGAAGGCTAAAGAAATTTGACAAGTAAGAGTTAATACCTGACCCTAGACTGAATACTGTACTAGAGGAAGGAAAATTCTAAAAACAACCAACAGGTCAACTGACAAAATTGGAATAGATAAAAAGTAAATTTATGAAGTCAGTAATTTATCTGTGCTTACGGAAGAGAACGTCTGTATTCTTGGGAAATAAGTCAAAATATTTATGTGCATAGGACATGACGTATGGAAGAAATGCACAGAGACACGCACACACATATAGACTGAGCATATGCCCACACACACACGGAAATGATAAAGCAAAGGGAGTAAAATGTTAACAGAGGTGAGAGGTGAACTAGATTTACTTATTTGTGCCCTGTTTTACTTCTGTAATTTTTTATATTTTCAAATGAAAAGTTGAAAAGTTACATTATGAAGTTATAATTATGTTACTTCTTCCATGCCTGTTATTGTAAAGGTCTTTTCTAAAGGAAAATCTATTCCTTTAAAATATGAAATTGTGTACAAGTCCAGGTAGGAAATGCAAAGAACTTACCCGTGAATTGGAATACAAAGGAGCTTTTCCATGTTGGAGAGGACAGCTCTTATGTTTTCCGGTGTTCGCGAAGAGCCAAACTCTGTCACCAAAAGTGATTTAGTAATATCTACAAGAAAACATTGTAAATAAGGACTAACTTTCAGTAATGGAAATTAGAGAGGTCATTTTTAAATTAATAATTTAGAAAAACAAAAACTTCTATATTTTTTCTTCCTTGTTTCTTCAGATTGGTGTCTAAGTTTTTAAGTGCTAGACTACAACTGAATTATCATCTCCACATGATCATTTATACATTTATTAAAGAACCTATCTCCCTAAATTGTCCCCCCAGTTTCTTCAGCTTAAGAAATGCCAAGCAAAGTTATCCCTTTTGATTTTTCAACTCCAACTCTTTGCACATTTCATTATAATACTTTGTCTACCTGAGTTGCCCTTCTGTTCAGCTCCTTAATTTCCTGATTTCTTCCTTAGCTTTGGACTCCTGGCATTCTGGCACAAAATTCAGTCTCTCTTCTGACATCCATCTCATTCTTCAATGACCTTCTCATTCTTCATGGACAATATTCTTGATATCCTCCCACAGCTCATCTGGTCTTCCTTCACTCATTAGTGCTCACTCAAGTCATCAAACCTGTTCCTAAGATCGTTTTTAAACTCAAGTTGGATAGATTCAAGGTGAAATTTTTGTTCTTGTGAATTTTATTTAGCTTCACTTTGAACTTGCATATGAGTAGTTGGTGGTCAGTTCCACAAACAGCACCTGGCCGAGTTTTCACAACTGATACTAAGCGCTCCAATGATTCTTTGCACAGATGTATCAACCTGATTCCTGTAAAGACCATCAGGTGAAGTCCATGTGTATAGTTGTCATTTGTGTTTCTTATAAAAGGTATTGTTATTGTTGCATTGTTAAGTGCTGTCAAGTTGTAGGTGACTCATAGCAACCCTATGAATAAAATTCCTCGACACTTGCATGCATGACTTTCATCCTTTCCCAAGTTTCACGGGATTTCCAGAGGCAAGCTATTTATGGAAGTGGATGCCACTCCTGCTTCCAAGCTTATTTCAACTGGGGAGTGCCACCAGACACTGTCCACCAGACACTGTCCACGATGGGTAACCATTATCACATGTGACACATCAGTGTCACAGTGTTCAGATTCACAGCAACCACAAGTTACCACTGCATGGTATTAAAAGGTATTAGTAAAGAATAAATCATTGATTGTACAAAATTCTATCATTCTAGCTCTGGTCTCAAGTTACTAAGCCCATGTTTTCTGACTACTAATCCTTATCTATTCTCAACTCTTGCACTCCAGTCACTCATTATTATTAATGCATCTTGGTTGCAAGTTCAGTCGATTTCTGACTGCAATCTTTGGTAGAAGATTGAAATCATTTCCTCCACTTTGGCTATGGTTATTGGTGCATACATTTGAACAATGATGATATTAACAGGTCTTCCTTGTATGCATATGGATGTTATCCTGTCGCTCACAACATTGTATGGATGGATCTGGAAATGGTCTTTTTAACTATGAACATGACCCTATTTTCCTTCACCTTTTTACGTTCCACGCAGCAGATCATATGATTATCTGATTAAAAATGTCCCATACCAATCCATCTCACTTTACCAATGCCAAAGCAGAAAATGTTAAGTATATGGAAAGTGACTAAAAAATTCAACTACCCAGCACATTGAAAGAAGACCTAAAGTTCCAGTCATCTAGTCAATATATCATTTCTTAATGATACATTCCAGCTTAAACTCATTTTACTCAGTTTACTTATTAATTGATCCTAACCATATCATTGTTGTATGTGCTGTCACATTGAAACCAACTCATAGCTGATTCTCAGTTACTTTTCAGAAGCTATAAAATGTATGGTAGGAGACTGCCCATCTTTATCCTCCAGAGGGGCTTATGGATTTGAACTCCATGACTTTGGGCTGGCTGTACAGCTCCTTACCACTAAGCCACCAGAGCCCTCTAATATTAGATTAGAGGAATTCTATGGCTGAAAGAAAAATTCATGAAGTCTAAAATCAAGAAACGATCTTCTCCTCTTATTCCCAGCACCGTGTTGAGCCTGAAAAGCTTGTGCAGCTACATTTCCTCCCACTACCACATCTAGGAAGATGGTACAGGCCTGCATGACATTTCATTCTATAAGGCCACCATGACTCAATGCCAGCTTAGTTACTAACAGCTACATCCTAAATTGAACTCAAAATTAAAAAGTGAAAAGAGCTGACTTATTGTATAAACTGGCTCATATTTATGAATCAGTTAACATTTGGAGAATCCCATAAGCTAACACCTGGAAGCTCTGTGTGCTAAATGGTATAGTGCCAACCCAAAGACAAGTGGTTCAAATCCACCAACTTTCCTTGGAATGATGGGCTATATGATTTATAGCTTCCCCAAACCTGCTGGAATATCATTTGTAAGTCAGTTCCAACTCAATAGCACATACAACATAAAAAAAAGTTATATAAAAAGTATATTTTAAAAAAATAAAGAATTAGATATACAATAAGTATACAGACAATAATCCCACCACCCTCCAGAAATCAGAGGCTAAACCTACCTTCTTGCTTTGAAACCTGTAGCCGCTGACCGTTACAAAAAGCCCCTTTTCCTTTCCTGGCAGTATACATTTTATCTTCCACACAACTGTAAACAACTCCAAATTCCATCTGCAGAAAGAAACAAATTCTCTTTACCAAATGTAAGAATCTTTCCCTTTTAAAGCAATATCGTTTCTAAGAAAGAAAATCTGGTATATTAATAATGTATTCAATAGGTTAAACTTTGGGATACCTAAAAAATGCTAATTCCTAATCTAATTAGAAGAAAGAGGTCAGCGGATCTGAATTCTTCTATTTCTCTCCCTTCCATTTCTAAACCTCTCTCCGTTCTGTTTCAGAAGATGATGGAGAGTCCCTAGTCACCAAGGCGATCCAGTTTATGAATCCTCTGTTATAAATCCTATCCTTTCACACAGAGCCTGAAAAACTACTGCATCAATTGATACCTCTTCTGTTGGTTACTACCAACCTGTCAGATGTCTCCCTCCCTTAAAAAATCTTCCCTTAACTCTAATCCCCACATGTTGTCATCCTTTCCCTAATCATAGTATACATTCTGCATTCCTTTTTCTCCTCACAATACATCACAATTTGGCTTCTGCCTTGTCATTCATTCACAGAGATCACCAAGGAACTCTTACTGATCAAATGCCTTCTCTGAAGAATTAAGAAACTATGGTCAATTACTTCTATATTTATCAGTCCTTCCATGTTTCTGGGCCTACTTTCTCCATTCAATCATCAAATCCATCTTAGTCCCTTTTTTTTTTTTTAAGAACCTTCTCTATCTAATCCTCAAAACTGTGTACCTCAGGGGTTTTTCCTTCTTCCATTAACCTTTTAGGTGTCTAGTCTCACATATGTGTTCCTTCCAGACCACAAACTCAATTATCAATTACATTTTTAGCTCCCATCAACCTATCACCACAAGGAGAACCTGGGCTTTAGACCCCCTTCAAAATGGCGTGCAGAAACCTCAACCAAAGAGGCCAAATTACTCATCCTGTGCTTATGCCTCATTTTTCCCCCCCTCAAGACTCCTCCTTCACTTTATTTCTAATCACTTCCTAATTCTGCCATTCCCTCAGTTATTCTCACTGCCCTGGGTACAAAATCATTTCTCCACCACACTTTCCAGTATAATCTCTAAAATTTATAATCCAGTATAATCTGTAGAAATTATAAGGCACTCTCCAATTAAGAACAAAAACAAAACCCTTCTGTTTTCAAACTGCCTCAAAACAAAGTCTAAACTTTATGGAGTGGATAGACTTCAATGCCTCACAAAATGTCCACAATGAACTTACCTATCAGATTCTACTTCTACCACCTCCCATCTTTTATTGATAGTTCTCTCTGCATATCATGAGCTTCACTTGTCGTGTATGATTCAAATGCATTCCTTTTCTCCCTCTGGCAACATCTAATTTTCCAAGACTCAACTGAAATAATCAACTTTTAAGACTCATAAAATCATGAAGACTTTTCTCTCATCTCACTCTTGACATCATTAGCTTTTCTCTACTGTGCTCCCACAGCATTTTTCCCACCACATCCCTACTACACGTTTTCATTTATCTATTTACATTTTAAACTTTTACACACAACTATCAACTCAAGGACAGGGCTAGCACATAAGCAGAGGGCTGACAACATGCTAAATTATCTCGTATGCCAGCCCCTGGTTAAGCTCTCATTTGTGTTTTTTCTGTTTATTTTGAGAGCTTTCTTAATTGCCTTGTATGCTGTTAGGTACCATCAAGTCAGAAGTGACTCAAAGCTTACCCTCCAGCAGATTTCCAGAGGCAATAAATCACACAGGAGGAGATTGCCCATTTTTCTCCCAAGAAGCAGCTGATTCAACCCGTGTGTCTTTATGTTGGCAGCAAAACTTATTATCACTAAGCCACTAACCTTCCTAACTGTCTTGTATACACACTGATAAAACATATTACGAGCTCCTTGAAGACTACTGTATGTTTGTGTACAGTGATCACTGCATGACTTACAAGCCAGCAAAAAAAAGAAGGAAAACCAATAGCTATAGATTTTACTCAACTGAGCTTCAGATAAAAAGAATTCTAGTGGTTAAAGTGTTTAGTGCTAAAGTAAGGGGCTGCTCTGTGGGAGAAAAAGTGTCAGTTGTCTTCTGTAAGGATTTATAACCTTTATAGTTGCCCTGTTCACAGTGCAACTCCACTCTGTCTCATAAGGTCGTTGCGAGTTGGAATCAATTCAGTGACCAAAGACTCATGAGGGGCTTTAGATATAATGAATGTATAGTTACATTTAAGGTATTAGCCACGCTCTGGACTTTCTCTCATGCTTCAGTCCCTGCCACTTCTTGGTTGTGGTTGTCCCCTAACAACACGCCTAAATCAGATCCCACTTCTTCTATTAAACATTCTCAGACTGCACTTCTTAATATCTTGTCACGTATATAACGGCAATTAAATATTGAATTTTATTTCAGTTACTAGTATATATTTTTCCTTAGAACTCTCGGATCTCAAAAATATTCTATGTTCCTCACTGGAAATGATGTCATAGTAATTGAAATAGTCCCATCATTTCAGTATAATTTTGTTACACAAACTGAACACAGAGGTAAAGCTAAAGTTATTAACTTCTTATCAAAAAATGACAGCAATGCATTTTATCACCTATGCATCTTAAACAACATACCTTTTTATTTACAACAAAGCCAATAGAAACAGCTACAAAAGGAAATCTGAAAAACAAAGGGAAAAAAATGTCAATAAATTTTTTTTATAATTTTATAAGAACTTTCACAACTACATATAAATTATTACTCTTCCTCTCTCCAAAATACAAAAAACAATGCATAGAGCATATGGTCATTTGAGTAAATAACAGTAAGACACCCACACAGGTATCCACATACATTCAAGTCCCTGGCTTGCCAACCAAAAAAAATACAGCTCAAATTGACCCAGAGGTAACTAAAAACAAAGTCCTGGCAATCTACTTCTAAAATATCAGCCACTGAAAAGCCTATGCAGCTTTTACTCTAACACATGCAAAGTCATTATGAGTCAGAGTTGAATCAAAAGCATTGCTATTTGGTTTGTATACATATACATATTCTTTTTCTACGGCATGTTACCTACAGACCAGACCCATAATGAATACAGGTCCAAACTGTATAGAATAGACTATTGTCAGCCTATCCTTACTCAAATACAGAAGTTGGAGAGTCATAGTTAATTGCTATGGCCATATGGAATTTTAAACACAGACACTGTAATTTCTGACTCAGAACAGATACAGATCAAGAAAATAGACCTAACAGGTTAAATATAAATATTGAAAATGAAAACTTAAAAATACTATAAAATCTTATTACAATGTATGAGCACTAACCCACATTTAAAAGATATGACATAACATTATTGCTTCTCCTCCATCATATCATATAGAAATAATACATACTGTGCTTTATTATATTTCATAAACTTTCTTAGACTAAGGAAGCATAAATAAGCCAAATAATTCTCTAAAGTGTTCTTGAGCAGAGTACTTTAAAGGTTAAGTTGTTTCATATGCAAACAGTAATTCCAGTATCAAAATTGTATAGACATACCTATGTACAAAGTTAGTCGTTCCATCAATAGGGTCAATGATCCACGTGGGGTTGTCAGTTAAGACACTCTTCTCTCCAGCTGCCACAGACTCCTCACCAATGAAACTAAAAGCAAGAAAGACAAATCCTAAATCTTTAGATTGCTTTCAATAAGCCATAACAGTTCTTTACAAAGTTGTGTTAGGATTTTTTTAGAATCCTGACTGTGTGGATCATAACAAATTGTGGCTAACCTTGAGGAGAATGGGAATCCTAGAACAATTGATTGTACTTATGTGAAACTTATACTTGGACCAAAAAGTAGTCCTCAGAGCAGAGCAAGGAAGCACTGCATATTTCAAAATCTGAAAAGAAGTGTGTCAGGGATGCATCCTTTCTCCATTCCTTTTCAATCAATACACAAAACAGAGCATTCAGGAAGCAGAGCTTTTTGAGGAATATGGAATCAAGATTGGAGGAAGGCTCATCAACAACCTATGTTACACAGATGACACAACCTTGCTTGCTGAAACTGAGGAGGGCCTGAAATACTTGCTGTAAGTCAAGGACTGTAGTCTTCAATATGGACTGAACTTCAACATCAAGAAGACAAAGATTCTCACCACTGGGCCACCTGGCAGCAACATGATAGATGGAGAAGAGATTGAGGCTGTTAACAATTTCAGCTTGCTTGGCTCCACAACTCTCTTGGCACCAGCAGTCAGAAAATCAAAAGACAAACTGCTTTGCTCTCCAGACTACTAAAAAGCAACAATGTCAGTCTAGGGACTAAGATTCGCCTGATCTATGCAATTACATGCATCAGAGAGCTGGAAAATAACTAAGGATAAGAGAAGAGGAGCCGATGCCTTAGAGTTGTGGTGCCGAAGAAGAGTCTTAAACATACCATGGACCGCCAAGAAAACAAAACAAATACGTCTATTTTGGAGAGGGTGAAACCAAGTTTTTCCTTGGAGGCTAGGATTTTGAAGTTGTCACACATACTTTGTACACATGGCCAGGAGGTTCTTGGAGAAAGGACATCATGTTCAGAAGGGTGGAGAAACAGCACAGGTGAGGAAGCCCCCTAATGACATGGACTGATTAAGTAAATGGGGCATTGGGGGTAGGTGTGTTGGAATCAGAAAATCAGTGAGAATGGCTCAGGACAGGGTAGGCTTCAGAGCTGCTATACATAAGGTCACTACTACGTGCAGGCATCTCGACTGCACGTGACAAAAACAATCCTAAACCACCGAATGACTTTCCTATCCATTGCCTTAGACCAGATCACATAGCCAAATTGAAAGGTGTAAGTAAAAGGAAACTTTGAGGGTCATTCACCACCCTGAACTCCCCTGGAGGTGTGATCTGCAGCTGTCCTAATGTAGGCCCTCATGAATTGTTTCTTTCTCAGAGAAAAGGGTAGCCTATCCACGAGGATTTAAGCAGATTCAGCAATGCAATCTGGAGAACCTAAACATCAGTAAAGAAGAAGCAGAGAAAGTAGCACCTATCCTCCGAGGTCAGAGGTTCCTGCCCCAGAGGTATCCTGTTAACTGAGAAGTGGCCTGGATTAACTGGGGAACTGTGTCTTGCTGTTAAGCTGGCCTGGGACTGCTACTCACTCAACCTGGACTTGCACTGTGTGATATCCTTTGCCTTTCTCCCCAACCCAGACAAACTGTTCCTTAGAAAAACCTCACAATCATGAGTAAGAAGAGATTTCCGTAAAGTCTGTGTGGTCATCTGCAACAAATTTCAACCCTAGTAATTAGTGGAAGTAGGTACAGCAGGGTGGGTGACAATGTCTGACCGTGTAGCTATCACAGTTTGCTAATGTGGATGTTATTCTTGGGGACACTACCCTTTCCAATATTGTCCTTGCTCCTTTTACAACAATCTACAAAAAAATAAAAGTTTGCACATTATACATACTATTGTTGCTTCTTATTTTTGTCCTGTATAGATTAATAAGTGAGTCAGATTTATTCTCCCTCACACAAAATAATTTTAAAAACAGTCAGCCACTGAATTCTCCATCAGGTTTTTGCTGTAAATTGTAAAGAAGGAGACTTCCCACTTCTCTCCCACAAAGCAACTGGTAGATTCAAACCACCAGAAGCATAGCCATTTCAGCTAGCAGCAGCTCCCTAAGGCACAGTCTTTGGCTTTGGGAAAAATACAAGAATTCAAAATTCTAAAATCAATCAATAAACAAGCGATGGTACATTCACAGAATGGAATATTATGCAACACAAAAAAAGCAAAAAAGATGCTCTGGTTCCTCTTCAGATTGTATAAATCTTTCACCTTTTACTAAAGATTTAAAACAATTAAGAATTAATGGAAAGTCATGTGGAATACAACGTATACAAACTTTGTAAGTAAACCAATAAAAAATAATAATAATAAAAAGAATTCATGATAGACCACATATTGTGGATGTATCTAGAAGCTATTATATTAAGTGAAAGAAGTTGGTCACAAAAGCACAAATATTGTATACGATTACTGTTATACAACTAAGGAAAAGAGTCAGATGGGGCCCAGAAACGCATCTGGAAGAACCATCACATTGGCCGCCCAATGAGAACCCCAAGTCCAGTTCAAACTCGTGTTGGTGGGTGATGGTGGTACTGGAAAAATGACATTCATGAAACATCATCTGACTGGTGAATTTGAGAACAAGTATGTAGCCACCTTGGGTTTGGAGGTCCATCCCTCATGTTCCACACCAACAGAGGACCGATTAAATTCAACGTGTGGGATACAGCTGGCCAGGAAAACTTTGGGGGACTGAGGGATGGCTATTATATCCAAGCCCAGTATGCCATTATGTCTGATGTAACATCAAGTGTCAGGGCCTGGCTAACCTGCAAAGCAGGATCAGCAATGCTATGTAAAAACAGCAGGACCACCTATCTTGGCCTGACCATTTGTTCTACAGAAAACAACTCCAGGAAGCAGTATGCTAATGAATAGGGAGTGACTGAAGGTTTCTGAATCTTAGGAATGTGATACCCTTTTGTCTTTCAAAATATATTATAAGATAGATAAGATATCCCGGAAGAGGTCTTTGTTTTGTGTGAATGTCTGGGAATGTTCGATCTACCAGTCAACATCTCCGACAAATAAGAGATAGTGTGATTACCCCTGCAGGCATGTTCCTAAGATGTGTATATATACCCTTACCAGAATATTAAACTTGCTATTTATCATCAGCAATTAGCCTCTCCGCATCTTCATTTCAACCTGGTGCCTCCTTTTGGCGGAATTCTCCCGACATATTGGGGCTGGATCCCCGATAATCAAGAGTTACCTACAAGAACGTGCCTAACTGGCATAGGAATCTGGTTCGAGTATGTGAGAACATCCCCATTGTGTTGTGTCGCAACAAAGTGGACATTAAGGACAGGGAAGTTAAGGAAAAATCCATCATTTTCCACCAAAAGAAGAATCTTCAGTACTACATTTCTGCCATAAGTAAATACAACTTTGAAAAGCCTTTTGGCTTGCTAGAAAACTAATTAGAGACCCTAACTTGGAGTTTGCTGCCGTGCCTGCTCTTGCCCCACCAGAAGTTGTCATGGACCCAGCTTTGGCAGCACAATATGTGCATGATTTAGAGGTTGCACAGACAACTGCTCTCCTGGATGATGACGATCTGTGAGAGAACAAAGCTGGAGCCCAGTGTCAGAAGTCTAGTTTTATAGGCAACTGTCCTGTGATGTCAGTGGTGCTGTGTGTTTGCCACTTTATTATCTAGCTAAGCAGAACATGTGCTAATCTTTGGGATGCTGAAGGAGAGATAGATGAATGGGCTTCGGAGTGAGTGTGGCAGTTAAAAACACCCTTCATTTTTTGGACCTGCATATTTAGCTGTTTTGTAAGGCAGTTTCCTTCTTGAGTTTCAAACACAAGACTCCTACAGTCAAATCACAATATTCCGTGGTAAAATCTTGTTACTGTCATTCCCATTCTATACGTTTAGAACCAGAATAAAGTTGTATTTCAAATATCTAAAAAAAACCAAACAAACTAAGGAAAGGTTTTGCACACAGATAGAATCAATCATTCTTGGATGGTGGTCAGGAAAGGCACTGAGAGGGGAGTAAAAATTAGTAAATATGTTGTTGTTGATTTTGTTCTATGTTGTTGAGTCAACGATGACTCAAAAGGATCCTATGAACAATGGCTCTGACCCTTTCCCTATCCGGAGCAACCTCATCATCTCCCAACACATCTGACCTAATTGCCATAATCACAGCATCAATCTCTCTTTGAGTTTCTCTCTTCTGCTGACTCCCTACCTTTCCAAACATGATGTCCTTCTCCAAGGACTAGCCTCTCCTGACAACATGCACAAAGCATGTGAAAGAATTTCAACATCTTTGCTTCCAAGGAGCACCCTTATTTCACTTTCTCCAAGACAGACTTGTTTATTCTCTTGGCAGTCCATGGGATATTCAATACTTTTCACCAGCACAACACAAAGGTATTGATTCTTCTTCTGTCATCCTTAGTCACTGTCTAGTTTTCAGTGCATAGCAAGTGACTGAAAAGACCATGGCTTGGATCAGAGGCATCTTGACCTTTAAATTGACATCACTACTCTTTAGTATTCTGGAGAGATCCTTGACAGTGAATTTTCCCAATGCAATTTGTCTTCTGATTCTCTGACTGGTGGTGCCAAGGGTGTTAATTGTGGATGCAATAATTAAGATGAAACTATTAACAACTTCAATCCTTTTTCTATCATGATGCTGCCTATAGACCTGGTGGTGAGGATGTTTGTTTTCCTGATATTGAGATGTAATCCAAATTTTTCTGCAGGCCCTGCCTCACAAAGGGAGACTGATACACCCACTGCTCAAGGTCCGAATACCTCTGGATCTCCCAGACCGTGCACCACTGCCACGTCCTTATGGTTTTCTCTTAGGAGTATAACCTCTTAAGTGTTTTGCATGTTTTTGGCTCTTAAAAGCTTAGATACACATATGTCAGCTTGTTTATCGCCTGCTCTTATGGGTGCAGCACTCTCTGTCCAATATTCTACTAAATGGAGCTTCTAGATTACAACAGACTAGGAAAAAGGATTAGTCATCTACTTCAAAATAACAGGCCTTCGAAAACCCTACAAACTCTACAGTAAACATGGCCTAGACAAATACTAAGATGGTAAAGGGAAAGGAAATATATAAGAGATGATCAGCACAAATCCCTAAAGAAAGGAAGACACAGAGAGGTACAATAGGATTAAGAGAAATCAGAATTACAGGGAGAAAATGATAAAAGTACAATTAACATTGTAGTTATTGAAACTGATGTTACAGAACCAAATGTAAATGAATGATTGAAGAAAAACTCATTTGCTTTGCAAACTTTCATTCAAATCATAATTAAATTTTTAAAAAAAGATAGCCCTGATTTGAATGTTTTCATTTTAATTCCCTAAAGTTGCCAGGACTCTGCTATATCAAGAAGTTGCCAATATAAGGACTAAAATGGAACTTCTGCATTGAACATATGGTACTCATTTTTTTACTCTGGCTACCCAGCATCCAAGCATTTCCTTTATTAAGAAAGAATCAAAGTATTTCTCCTCCTTTGACCCCTGGCAACTTGAACATGAGTGAACAATCTAAACTCAGCAAACAGATATTGTTGTATAAGATTTGTACACTAAAAACAATAAGGTAAAGGTAAACAGTTGCTTGGGAAACACTCAAAGGCGTCAGAATCAAGATTGAGGCCACAGGACCACAAGTGGCCTTCCTAAGCAGTGTTACCCATGGCAAAAATCTGATATCTTCCTGTCTCTGTGATTCATGTCTAAGTCTGCCTTTCCAGGTTCCTGAGCTGCCCACATCTCTGATGACAATTTTCTGTAGCTTATGTAACAGCCAGTTTCTGTGTATAGAACAAAAAAAATTCTTGTCTAATATGTTAACTTCATCTTGTTAATTTGAAATTGAAGCATTAAGTACCTGTGAGATGGATACTTCTCTTTTATGGCTGAGAGAAGCATTTTTTCCACTTTTTGGTCAGTCGCTGTTACCAAATCTGCAGGAGAACTTTTAATCATGACATTCACTTCATTTTTCAGAGCGTCACAAATTACCTAAAATGATTATATCAGGGGTACACAAACAGAAAAAAACATAAGTAATATTAAATCAAATTAAAACTGAAATACAGAAATAAATGAAAACACTGGCATGCACTTAAATGCAATTCTTTAAAAATAAGTATAAAATAATCCTTTAATGCTTAATGCTTTCAGCATTTAACCAAAATATATAATTCTATACTCTATCTTAGATTCTAATTGCCATTCGAAATGTTTTCAAATGACAAAAATTAAAAAACACCAATAAATACCCAAACCAGTTGCTCTCACGTCAATTCTGACACGTAGGAAGTCTATGTGCTTTGGGGTAGGAATGCACTTCACAGCATTTTTAAGTCTGTGACTTTTTAGAAACAGATCCACAGGTCCTTATTCCAGGGTACCTCTGGGTACATCTGGATCACATTCTTCTTCCAACATTTCGGTTAGAAGCAAGATACTGGACCCTTTGCACCACCCAGGGACTCCTTCATTGATGCTGTACCATCTAATTAGCTGTGACATAAAAGACATCAAGCTATCTAGCTTGAGCCAACAGGGGGCAGTGCTTTTATAATCCTCTTCTTTTTTAAATTTGTAAGTGTTTTAATCATAAGCTGATACCCTGAGGAAATGGGTTTCTGGGTCTGGGGCTTGGGACCATAATCTTAGGGAACATAAAGGTCATTTAATATAACAGGGCTCACCCGATGGCACAATAGCAATGGATGTAACACATTCTTCCTCATCCTACTTTGTTGAATAGTGACTAGAGACTTAATAGCTTGCAACCAGCCACCTATGGTGCAGCTATTGGTCTCTCCCTGTCTAGAACAAAGAAAAGGGAAGAAAAACAAAGATGCACAGAAACAGTCCAAAGGACTAATGAACCACACACACCTCAAATTCCACACCCCAGAGCCCTGAAGAACTCAGCGGTACCTGGGTACCACCACTGACTGACCACTCTACAAGAGAAAACAGCAGGAGTTCCTAGATAGAGTGGAGGGACAATGTAAAATGAAATTTAAAAACATAAAAATGTCCAGGCTGATTAGCCTCATAAGAGACCAAAAAAAATCCCCAAAGACTATGGTCCTTGATAAACCTTTGAACCTAGAGCAAAACTGATCCCCAAGGCTCTGCTGTCAGTCAAACAACAGACAGGACAATAGAGCGACCCATAACATCAGGGAGGCACTCGCTCCTCAGTATAAACAACCATCTAAGGTCAAAAGAACCAGTATTTGCCCCCATGGATAAAGTCCTGAAAGCAGGAAGGAACAGAAGGATTAATGGAAATGAAAACTGTAGGGAGGAAATGAGGTAAGGGTGGATATTATCATTAATGTTACAAAAATGTGTATGAATGGTTGAATGACAAGCCAATGTGGTTTCCAAACTGTCATTCAAATCACAATTGAAAATAAATGAATAATAAGCTTGGGGGAGGGGGTTGGGAGGGGAACCACAGCAAAGGAAAAGTGAAGGCAGATCCTCACTGAAATGACACAGAGTGTCTGTAACAATGAACTTTAAGCACAGCAGAGACTGAGCGTGGCGCAGATCACGCAAGATTTCGTTCTGGTGCACATGGCATTCCAAGGAGTCAGAGCTGACCCAATGGCACCATAACAATAACAAGCACCACAGAACGACACACTGCCCGATCCCGCACCACCCTCACATCGCGGCTGTGTCTAAGCCCACGTGGCAGCCGCAGGATCAATCCACCTCGTAAGGATGTCTCCCATCTTCCTCTTCTTCAATGAACAACCTTTACTAAGAAGGATGTCTTTCTCCTGGGACTGGTTATTAACTATTTCTTTTCATTTCTTACTTTTCCTGAATATTTACTCCCTTAAGAGTGTGAAAACAAAGATTAATCAAAATATGTGCAGTATTTGACGAGACAACCACATACGTACATCTTACGTCTGAGAAGATACTTAGCTCATACCTCTCCAGCTTGTCTTGCCAGGGTTACCGCATAATCCATGCACTCTCGCCAAGGGTCAGCCATCTTCTGAATACCGCTACCAAACATTAGCACAAAGAAGTTACAAAACTCTAAAAACCATACTCAGAGTTAGTTCCAAAATATATCTCAATGGGCAACATATTTTCATTTCAGCATTTATTTCTAAATTCCAGAACTCAACATTTTAAAGGATTTATTCCAAATCCTGGGTAAAAGCCAAACTAGTCTATTTCTCCTAGAGAAACTTATTTGTAACAGATAATTCTCTATCTAAACCCACTGCCTTTACTTACTCATTCTTATTACCATGGAGTCAGAATCTTCTACAATCTGAAGCTTCTAGTGAGTTTCTGTGTCTACAAATCTCACAGGAGGAGATCCTCGCCTTCCTTTTGGAAGCTGCTGGTAGACTAGAGCCACCAATTTGCTACAGATGACACTACCATTAAGTCTACATCAAAGCACTCTCATTGCCAACTGAGCTGATAGTGTTCACCAGCTCATAGGGACCCTGGAAGATGCAGTAGAAATAAGTGCAGAATTGCACGAGAGCCCTTTCAAGACTGTAATTGTTTTCAGCTGCTGAATGCCTTATCTTTCTTTTTTTTTAGAATGCCTTCTCTTTCTCCCTCAGAGTGGGGGAGTGGGGTCATGGGTTCAAGACGAATTTTCGGTTAGCAGCCAAATACTTAACTGCTGTACCACCAAGGAATCTCCTAAAGTTTCCACATCACCATGTCATTTTCTATCTCTGTGTCTGCCTCTATTTCTCTAGTGTGTGGACATACGCATGGACACATACACACACTCTCACTTTCTCTCATTCTCTAGAAGGGCAAGAAAAGGACATCAGAAACACTGTAAAAGATGTCTGGAATAAAAGGAGAAATAGAAAGATACTGGAAATTGCTGAAATAAAGGAAAACTCTAAAAGGCAGAACAGATGTATAAATAATATACTTACTGAAGCCAGTTAGTGTGATAAAGGCTTCACATACACAATTTTCCCTCTTCTAATAAGACTGGAAAGGCTAAGAACTTAAAACTCAGAGACTTTTTTCCCCCCAAAGTACACAGAACTGGCACAGTTGAATGTGAACCCAATTGCGATTTTAAAGGACACTGCTCTTTCTGTTATGGCATTCTACAGAAGGAAAATTCCAGGACTTTAGTAGAAAAAAAAAAGTAAATTTATTTCCCTGAACTTCAAGGGGAAAAAACCAACACAGTTTGTGTTCTGAACTATGCAAGTTTTTCCTGACTTCTAGGTGACTGCACCCCATAATCATAGAGAAGTCTTTTAAGCTGTCAGACAGAGAAATATGTGAAATCATTTAAAATGCAGACCTAATTCAGAGTCTGAACAAAATGCAGACCTAATTCAGAGTCTGAATAACTATTTCTGGGAAAATACCTGATTGAGGAGAATCCCAAAGACAATAAAAAATCTTCATCATGGCGCTCACATTATAAGAAAAGGGAGACACAGGGGAGCATAAAAGAGAGTGAGCAGTTTCAGCGAGTTGCTTTTTCTTCCTGATATATGTATTTTTGGTATCTCTGTTAAAGAGCTGTGCTGCCAACCCAAAGGAAGGAGGTTCGAATCCACCTCCTTTCTTGTGATTTATAACCTCTCAAAAGCTGTTGGAGAGTCGGCTGCAGGTTGGTCTGACTAGAAGCCAACAACAATACATATTTTAAAAACAGAAGAGTACCACTTTTTATGTTAAATAAGTAACAGCAGCTTAGAGCTCTTGAAAAATCATTTCCAAACTCTTTTCTTCCCTTAGTCCCATCCCTTCTAGGATATATTTTCTTGCTAGAAATTCTGCTCAAGACACACCCCCACGCTCAGTAGTAACAAAGCTTCTTTCAATTCTTCAATGCCTATTACAGAGGTAAGAGGATACAAGATATCCTCTCTTCTAGGGAGTCTCTAACCAAAAATCCTTCATATAATCATTTAACTAGTATTTACTGAAAACTTAGAGGCTGTACAACGAACCACAGTGAAAGGGGGAAAGGCTCCATTCACATTTGCTGCCTAATGAGGAGTCAGAAATGAATCCAAAAATCAAAAAATAGATTTCACAGTCAATTAATGTTATTGCTGTCAATAAAGTGTACACCTATAAAATGCTGAATTGGCAAGCTGTTAAATCTATTTACCAAAAAAAATAAATAGTTTCTGAAGCTGTTTATGTACAAACATTACATGGTAGTTGGTTTCTCGGTGGTTTTGGAGGTTTAAGGTCATGATTTCAAGAGACATCTCAGTTAAACTACACTTAAAGCTTCTGTTGTATTTCCCTGTTTATTGTGCAGTGCTTGAAGTCATAAAGGCTCATAAATGGGGCCATTCAGCCAAAATCCAACAACTGGTCTCTATTCACCTGAAGTGACAGAGAAGAGTCAGGAATGGAGGAAAAGGAATGTATAACTAATTGCCTCCATGCAAAACTCCTTTTTTATCACAAGAACATAAGCATGGTCTAGCTATCATTTCTGAGCATTTTATCAGAGACGTAATGTCTGAATTCTAATCAAGAAAGAAGAAAATATAGAATAGAATTTCAAATTCTCATGGAATTTAGTTTTCTGGAATCATGGAAGCTGTATAAACCAACTCTGCATTAATCTTTAAATTTTAAACCAAAAACACCCCTTGCAATCTTTCTAAAACTAAACAACAGTTTGGTAAAGAATGTCTGCCTTGCTCATCCAGTGCTTTTATGACCTATATGGGATCAAACAGACAAAGGTTTCTTAAAAGATTAGATATGAGCCTGGAGGCCTGTGTTTATGTTAATGGATGAAAGACTCAGATAAACAGTGAGAATGGTTGTGCAACTCTCCACATCACTTCTGCAAATTATATTGTACATGTAGAAGTTGGTGAACTGGAATATGTTCTGCTGTGTATATTCTCAACCAAAAAAAACCCAACAACCCCAAATTATAAAAGTAAAAAAAAAAAAATCAGTTTATATGCAAAATCAAAACCATATAAAGCTGAGAAGGAAAAGTGAAATGAAACATACAGAACACAGGAGTTCCGATTTGGTCTAAGGAGGCATCAGGAAAAGTCACGAGTAAACCACAATCTGGGGAGAGTGGAAGTGAAGATGTGTAAAGGAACTAATTTGCAGGATCCGTGAACCTTCCAAGTGTGGCAAGGCAGAATCAAGGGAGGTAAGGGAGGGAGGAGACAGCAGGGATCATGGCAGGCAAGAACTTAGAAATAAGATTTTGATTTCCAGAGAAATCATTTTACTATGGCTACTTAACAGATTAGATCAGAGGGTGGACTGGAAAAAAGAGAGTGGATGACAGACAGGTTAAGAGATTCAATGCTGATGGTTCATTAATGCCTTGAAGGGGCCAGGGGAGTGAGTGGTAGGGACTTGGGTAGCAAGACAGTCAATAAATACTTGTTTTGAAAGGTGAAGTTGGGGGACTTAGTGACAGATTGGATATGGGGTATGAGAGGAAGAGTTTAATGATTTTAAGTCAGATTTTTTTGGTTTTGTTAACTACATGGTGATAGTACTGTGGAAAGAGAAATAATAGAAACAAAGTTTGAGAATGGGATAAAGTTTGAGAATGGGATAAGATAAAGGAAAATAAGAAGTTACTTAGTAGAGGATGATGATGAATAGCCTGTATGAAAACTAGCGTCAATCAGGAAGCTGAGTACATGGCCCCAGAGTGGAATTCTGAAGAAAGGTATTGCTTGCAAACACAAAGTTGAAATCTATCTATCTGAGTAAGCAGTAACTGAGGTTGAAAATATTTCCTTGGGGAGAAGACACATTTATAAACTAGGAAGGAGTCTTAGCCTGGAAGGCTGCATGAAACTTTGTGCATCCCATGTGAGCCACTGAGTGTCATTCTCACATTTTGGTTATTTGTATCTATGCCTATCTTCCCAACCGAGTTTGTAACCTGATGGAAGATCAGCTGTAGTGGCTTAGTGGGTAGGGAGTTGTGCTGCCAAATCAGAGTTGGCAGTTCAAATCCACCCCATGGGAGAAAGGCAAGCAATCTTCTCCTGTGCAATTTAAAGCCTTTAAAAATCGGCTGGAGGGACAGCTATGCGAGGGTTCCACTCAATGACAATGCGAGCATAGTTTTTGATCAATGAGGTCCTATTTTTGTCACTTTCATTTTCCCAAAGTCATAAACACTTAAAATGTTCCCAACTGTTTCTGTCCAGATAGTGTGACTTACAACCGCCCCCAGTCATGTAGCATGACTACGAAGTGCAGGAGACCTAGGACGCTATCCTATCACTTATCTGGGACTAAGGATGCGCTGGTCTCCAGAGCTCCTTCGGAATCTAAATAAGAAAAATTAAGCGGAATGGGGAAGTTCTGCATAAGCGGATGCAAAAGCTGTGAGGTCGCGCGGCTATGACCTCTATATAAAGGTATCATCAATTAGACCCACCCCAGCATCACCGATCGCGCCCACCCACACTTGCCACCAACAAGACATTACCCCGCGCGCCGCCCAGGGAAACAGCACCGGTCAAGGACAGCAGACGCGAAAGTCAGCGCTAGAGTGGGATTGCGGGAAACCAGGGCTCACCTTATGTGGGAGGATGCCCAGCTGGCTCGGCGCAAGCGCAGTTCCACTCTTCCCAAGGCAAAGGGCGGCCCGGGACAGGAAGTCCTCCTCGGGGCACCTCCCACAAGGGCGTGGCTTCACTCGGAGCTCCGCCCCTGCGGGCAAAGCCCGGAATCGGCTGGTATGTTTGCTTGTCATGCATTCGAAGTGCTGTATCTGGCTTTCTCCTTTTCATCGTTGCTTCTTTCATTTTTCCCTGTTTGCTTTTTTTGGTAGACTTTTCAAAAAACTATTTTGCTCACCCCTTTTCCTTCTAAGGAGTGCTGGTGGTGCAGCGCTCAGCGTGGTGAGCCACTATACATAAGGTTAAACCACTTCAATCTGCCAGCAGCTCAGATTGAGAAAAATGTGTAATCTTCCCCAGTGATGATGGACAACCTTGGAAACCGATGGAGAGAGTCTCTAAGAACGACATCATTCTCAGGCGGAGGGTTTAGTTTTGTTTTTGTTCCTTCCACGGTTTGGGGTCTGGAGTGGTAGGTTGCATTGTGCCTGAACAGATCCTGCCTCCAATTTGTGACCAGGCCACGTTTCCAGCTTCGCACAATACCTAGTTCCCTCCAGGAGGCTTTTGTCTGCTAGCTGATAGCCATCTGTGAGAGAGTCTAATGATGCTAAACTGCAAAATGGAGAAAGTGAGAACCAGTGCTCCCTACCCAGAGACCCACCTGTGCAGGAAAGACGGCCTTCATTAAACCAAAAGACTCTGGTTTCACTCCTCCCTATAGGCTGGAGGGGCCTAACTCCCTTACTTCTGTATGATAAAAGAGGCAACCATGGTGAGTCTTCCCCTTCAGTCTTGGGTATGCTGCTGATAAGTCTCTGCAACTATTTGTAAATGGCAACTTTCTTACTAAATGAATAATTTCCATATGCTAAGATTTCCTTAGTTAATAGTTAATTGTTCAATGGACTTTGATTTTTTTAAAAGTACAATGTCCAATATCAAGGTGTTCCTGGTAGACAAATAAGTTTTATCTAGTAAAATTTAAAATAATGAACATTGGAGTTGCAAATGTTGGTTAAGATTCCTGACATGCTCCTATTAGATGAATGCTAGCAGCTTTCACAGAGAGGATCAGCGTTTAATTTTGAAATCCAATAACCATAATTCTCACACTTAAGATTATACACAAGGATTAAACAGGACAATAAATAGCTGTAATATGAGCCTAGTTGTACTAAACACTCTGAATACAACAGCCTGTAATGAGAAACTAGAGAAAACTTCACTTAAGAATTTAAGAATTAAGAAAACTTAATTCCTTAGGGGGAATTTGCAAAACCTTCATTGCAAAGTTGGTATTTGAGCCAAGTCTGTAAAATAGCTAAAATTTAAATAGAGATGAGATGGGCCCCTGGGGTAGTAGGAATATGTGTGAAGGAATCATTGGTATCATTTACTAGATACCAAATCATCCTGCTTGACTGTGAGTTCTGGTGGCCTAGAGGCAAAGTGCGCTGCAATCCCTGAAGGCACGTATCTCTCCATGTGAGAAGGATGGACAGTCTCCCCCCATGCCACTAACAGACTCTTAATACCTGCTAGAGGTTGGTTCCAACTCTAGGGTACACAGCAACCACCAAAGATGTATGTGTTAAGAGATGGAGAGGAGTCAGATTGGGGTCAGATAGTAAAGTACAATAAATGACTCAATAATGACTATAGCACATGAGAAGGGTGGGCAGTCTCCTCCTGTGTCATTAACTGCCTCTGAAACCCACCGGAGGGTCAGCTATGGGTCATTTCTGATTGGACAGTACATAACAACAACGTCTATAGACTTTATTCAAATGAAAAATTTATCTGACAGTGTTTGAGGGGTGGAATAAGAGACCAAAAGCCAGTTAAACGGGCATAAAAAAGAAGCAGCATAGAGCAGAAAATAATGTCATGGACTGGGCATGGAGAACAGGCTGATAAATATTACAGGAAACTTTCTGCAGGAAATAAGCTGAATATAAAGAAAGAAGTAAGAAAAGATGGGGGGAAAGAAGTAAAAAGAGAAGATGTAAGAAGAATAAGAAGAAAAAAGACGATCCGATATTTCAGCATCCATGGTGATGCCTCCAGTTGGACATATGGATGCTGGGAGGAAGGACAGCCATGAACAGAGATGCTACATTTAGTTTAAGACTTACTGGTTCTGAAGAGAATGAACAATCCAAAGTGCAATTTGCCTAGTCATTCACTGAGTAAGCACTTACTGAATGCCTGTTATGTAGACACCCCTTCCTTGAATATTTGGTCTATAATATCATATTCACTACTGGGTGGATGGTATTTTATTGCTGTTTTGGTTAAAGATATGATAATAAAGTATTACATTTCAAATCCTATTCTAGAGGACATTACCAAGTGTCTCTTTTCTGAACCTCGGTATAGTTAACCATTTGTACCACTCATTGGGACCTTAGCATATATGATACATACATAATTTTAAGCTTTTAATTTTAATAATTTTAATATTATAAATTTCCAATCAGATCTTGAGTTTGAAAACAAACCTCACTTTCATTTATTCTTTTCATCTCCCACAGTGCTTTACCCAGAATAGGAATTCAGTAACGCTTTTGTTGTTAAACTAGGGCATTTTTCCCCCTTCTGTCTCTTCCAAGGATCCATGTTTTCCTAGCCTTGTAAACCAATAGGATCAGTAGCATTTCACATCCCGAGCACATCACTACTGTGAAAGGGGCTACAGAAGCTGTTTCTGCTTCAGAAGGTGAAAAAGAGAGCTGGATAATAGCAAGTGCTAGGACACTATTGATCATCCCACTTTCAATTGCAACGGTTTTACACATAGGAACAGGCAACATACAGATTTTAGCAGAGGAGAATCCAAACAGCAAACCCAAAGTAGGAACCATGAGACCCAAAAGAAACACTTCCAGGTTAAGAGTTTTTAAAAACACTAATACCATTCTGAATGTTAAATAAATCCCTACAAACATTAAAATAAAGCTCAGCGGCCGAATTATTCTCTCTAGGAAGTCTGCCTTCTCGGGCATCCGACGCTTGATGACTACCCCAACTGATATCGGTATAAGTATGAAAAGGAGTGTTGACATGATTTTAGAAACCGGAATATGAAATGTACCTGATAACCCCAACATCCTACTATATATGAAAGAATTAAAAGGCATCATTATAAGGGCCAATAATGTGGATGTGCAAGTCATTAAGATGGCCAAAGTGACATCTCCTTCTAGAAGCAAAGCAAAGAGATAGCCCCCACCCCCTCCTGGACATGTACAAGTCATGACAAATCCAAAAGCCTGTGCTTCAGGCAATGCCAATATCTGGGTCAAAAGAAACCCACAAAATGGCATGAGAAAAAACTGTGTAACTGCCCCAAGAATGACTGGCAAAGGTCTCTTCCATATTGTCCGAAGCACTTGCAGTTCAATCTTGCAACCAAATGCACACTTATTTAACAGTATCATTGGGAGAATTACCATGAGAACATTCTGGTTAAGATGCATTGATGCTAGAAAGGAGTGGTTTTTCCTTTGTTTGAGCACCTTGACTTTGACATTCTTAATTTCTTCAATGAGTCTTTCTTGCCTACCTTCAGAATCCCATAGCTGAATGGTCACATTTGTCTCTCCTCCTTCCCCTGTCAGTAGGTTTATGGTGAAGTTCATAATATCTGAGAAGGTCTTGGTTACATTCACCACTTGCAGCACCGTAGGATCTTCTAGGAGCACAGAGAGGCGGCTGGAGTTCGGCCATTTTTCTTTGTACCTTGACTGTACAATAAAGGATTCTTCTGTCTTTGTGAAAAATAGTATTCCAGTCTTTGCTATGCTCAGAAAACTGATAAACGAATTCTCTGCTTCTCCCAGAGTCACAAAGAGCAAAATCCAGGTAATAAAAAGTTTATTGGTCATTTTTAAAGTTTAAATGAACCTTATATGCAAAATCAGAAAACATTCTTCTCACAGGTATCCCAGTGGTGATCTGATAATATGTTAGTTAATTAACAGTTGTTTATGCTGAATCAAAGTTCAGTAGGAGGGACTGTTGGACCGTTTAAGCAAATACAAAACGATCTAGTGAGTGACATAACCTGCTTAACCTGTCATTGTGAACATTTAAAAACCAAGTTATTTAATAGGTTCAACCTCTTACAAAAGTAATATAATCTCCTGCCTTCCAACTTCATTTCAGCCAATGAGAAAAGAGGTTTCTTTTTACCTGAACTTTGATGCCATGATCTTTTCATCTCCCTTCCTAAGAAAAATCTACACTAAAAGCAGTCAGGATTCAAATATCTAAAACAGATATCAAGGAGACATGGGAAGATTTGCTTTACAATTTTGTTCATAAAAAAAGTGCAAATAAATATTTTCTGGAAATCTGTTTGAACAGTGCTGACCTAGGAGCTGAGTGTGCCACAGTGGCCAAGCTAGATGAGGTCTCTGTCCTCTGAGAAATTCATCTGGCATCTTGTTATCAATACCTAGAAAATTTTAAGAATCAATGAAAAATTGGTCTTGGTAACATCCTTATGCTACTGGATATTTGTCTTAGAATTCTAGCATACCACTGAAAATGCTCTGATATCCTGCTTAAGAAGAAAAATAATGTCCTAGATTGTTACTGGGTAGCATGGGAACCTAGAGAAAGTGCTGGAACTTACAGCAAAAGATAGTCTGGCTAAAGATTCCCTGCTGCCACACACTTAGATGCCAACACTATAGGGGTGGAACTAATTCTAATGTCTTATTCCTTCTTTTTTAAACACTGTTCCCTGCTCACAGTTCTGGGTAAGAAAATCTAATAGGTTCCACTTAGTTTACATACAACTGCAGGGATCAGGCTTTTTTGTGTGTCAATCCTGACTCACAAAATTATTATTTCCCAGGGGAGGAGACTCTGAGACGAGGCAACAAAAACAAAAACCACTATCTACAAAGTGTATCTATTAAGTGGGTTAAATGTTGGTTGCTAACAGAAAGTCAAAGGTTCAAAGCCATCAGCCCTGCAGGAGAAAAGAAAATCTGTCTGAAATAGTGATCCAGTGGCTTACCAGTAATGAGTTGTATTATCAACCCCAAAGCACTTGGTTAAAATTAGCCAGCTGTTTTGTGGAAGAAAGATGGGCAGTCTCCTCCCATGTGATTTACAGCCTCTGAAAGCCCACTGTCAATTGATTCCCACTCTATGTCACAGAACAAATCCCTTAAATATTTAGTCTCGGAACTCCTATGGGACAGTTCTACTCCATATGGTCACTAAATTGAAAATGTGTCAACACAGTGGGTTTATTTTATATCATAAAGTCCTTGTCCTAAAAAACTAGTCATTTTTATTATTCATTTTGCCAAAACTTTCAAAATTGTATTGCTTATGTACAGGTTTGGAAGCAGGAGTAGCATCCACTTCCTAAATAACATGCCTCTGGAAACCCTGTGAACTTTGATAAATATTGATAGTTGCAGACGGGTTTCAGGCCTTTTGTTCATAGGGTCAGTATGAGTCGTGCTCAACTTAAAGCAATCAATATTACTTATGTATGTTAATATTTCAAATGGAGTAGATGCTAAACTTCATAAATTTTATTCCCAAATACCATATTAGGAAAAATAAAATCCACTGTATGAATGCTGGGAAAAAGAAAATGAAATTAATCATTCTGTGCTACCTCAGTTAGATTACCAAGGAAGGATGGGAGGACCCCTGGCCAGGACAGATCGCCCAAGATCTACATATGTGCAAGCCTCCCAAAGGCCTTTAATACAGGTAGAGAAAGTTCCCGTGTTTGGCTGTACCAGCTTGAGAAAGTCACCACCTGGGAAATTGGTTCCTGCATCTGTCGAGCTGGGAGTAGTCTGCACGCGGCTGAGGTTCTCCTAACCAATCCCACATGTCCCACATCTGTAAGCCCACCCTATCTCGTCTTCCTGTTTACATGTTTGTACATAAATGCACTGCAATCCCAAGAAAATTGAGCTGGATTGATTCTCTGATCCTTTTGTGGAGTGGTGTATCTCTGTGATTACCCCCATCAGGGTGTCACTGTTAAGTTGCCAGGGAACTGACAGTGACACCTGGTTTAAAACAAAGACTTTAAGTAACCAAAGCTATCTTTACAGTTATGTAACCAAATATTGTAATCTATAATTTTTGTTATCTAAGTCAAAGATCTCTTTCAGTCACTTGGCCAGGTGGTTGTCTTCCAGACTTCTTGGCATAACTTGGTGAGCACATCTAGGACAGCATCTGTTGAAATATGTCAATTGGTATGCCATTAATTCCTGAGGTCTTGTGTTCCCCCCCCCCCCAATTCTTTCAGAGCAGCTTGAACTTCCTCCTTCATCACCACAGGCTTTTGCTCATACGTTGTTTCATTAAATTCTTCTGTGTCCACCAATTCCTTTTGGTACAATGACTTTGTATACTCTTTCCATCTTCTTTTAATGCTTCCTGGATCATTTAATATTCTGCCCAAAGCATCCTTAAGTATTGCAACTCGAGGCCTGAATTTGTTCTTTAGTTCCTTTAGCTTAAGAAATACTGAGTGAGTTAGGCCCTTTTGATTTTCTGACTCCAACTCCTTGCACATTTCATTGTAATACTTTACTTTGTCTTTCTGCACTGCCCTTTGGAATCTTCTGTTCAACTCCTTAATATCTTGATTTCTTCCCTTTGCTTTGGCTTCTTGGAGCTCTAGTGCAATATTCAGTTTTTTAGATCTTGGTCTTTTCTTTCTCCTCTGTCTTTGCAATGTCTTTTTGTATTCTTCCTGGATGATATTCTTGCCCGTTCCAAAGAAAGGTGATCTGACAGAGTGTGGAAATTATTGAACCGTATCAATATCACATGTAAGCAAGATTCTGCTGAAGATTATCCAAAAATGACTGGAACAGCACATCAACAGATAACTGCCTGAAGTGCAGGCTGGGTTTAGGAGAAACTGTGGTACTAGTGATAGTATAGCTAATATCAGATGGATCTCGGCTGAAAGCAGAGTATCAGAGGGATGTCTGTGTTTCATTGACTATGCAAAGGCATTGGACTATGTAGATCCCAATCAACTGTGGCTGACTCTGAGAATAATGGGAATCCCAGAACACTTGACTATGCTTATGCAAAACTTATACTTGATCAAGGAGGCAGTCATCAGAACAGAGCAAGGAAAAACTTCATGGTTTAAAATTGAGAAGATTGTGTGCCCAAGATGTGTCCTATCTCCATACCTTTTCAATCTATATGCAGAACAGATTATCCGGGAGACTGGGTTCTATGAGGAGAAATGGGCATCAGGATTGAAGGAAGATTCATCAACAATCTGCATTATGCAGATGACACAAACCTGCTTTGCTGAAAATGAGGAGGACATGAAGCGCTTGCTGCAGAAGGTCATGGATTGCAGCTGTCAATATCAAGAAAGCAATGATTCTCACCATTGGGCCGATGGCACCATCATGATGGATGGTGCAGAGATTCAGATTGTCAACAGCTTCAGTTTGTTTGGCTCCACAATCAACACATTTGGTACTGGCAGCCAGGAAATTAAAAATAGAATTTCATTTGGAAAGTCTGCTGTCAGAGTCCTATCCAACACAGGTATAAAGGCTGTACCACTCATTCATACTTGTCACATTGCTTTGTATTATAGGTGTGCATTTATATATAGCTCATTGTTGTATCCACTGCAATTATATTTAGATTAGAAGGTACTCTCATAATGACATTAATGTATGGACGTATAAGCACTTGGTAAATGTTGGGAGCTTTCCCTACCTCTCACACAAAAATAATGTGGAGAAAGCAGATTAGAAAGAAAATGGATCAAATGAGCACTCTGAGTTTGTTCTTTCAATTACGCTAAAGTCATTACACATTTCTCTGACAATTATAATAAAAAAGGAAAAAGAATAGAGATGATTTCTATTCCTTTTACATAGTAAATCTTTGTTGACTATAGATGAAATACAATGGTTGGGGACATACATCTGAATTTTTTAGGGAAATGTAGTTACTTTTGACAGGCGTTTGTTTTATTATTTGTTATCACTAGTGATTGCTGGTCTTTTTCTCATTTGAATTATACTCAAATAAATAGGTAAAGCACCCAGGGGTAGCTTCTTAATTATAAATATACCCTGATGTTAGCAATAACAATAAGACAAGAGAAGGGAATAAAAGGTATCCAAATAGGCAACGGGGAGGTAAAATTATCCCTCTATGCTGATGACATGATAGTATACTTAGAAAACCCTAAAGACTCAGCAAGAAAACTATTGGAC